ATAGAATGTTCCTGATGGTATCCGCTCAGCCCCCACATCCCCATGTGGTAGGTATCACGCATCATCAGGGCTGAGAAGAAACCTCTGTTGACAAATGTTTGTTAGAGCTGAATTAGACTTTGGGTCCAGTGCCAAAGTTTCAGAAAAGCCTTCTTCCTGGAGAACTCCTTGTCTGTTTCCTTCTCAGTGACTCAGAAAGGCCTCCTTCTGTGTCCCGCCTTCACTCTTCTGACTGGTCAGGACCTGAGCTCTGGGGCCATTTTTCTCACTCAGGTGTTAAGGGCTCACAAGAGTCCTGCCTTCTTATTTGCATCAGAGTTAACATCAAAGTCTCAGTATCAAAGGATAAAATCTCCAAAAGGGTTTTCTGGGAGCTTTAGGAGGCCCACCAAATGTTGTTTCAGGATACCATATTTCAGGCAGTAGCTTGTGGTCAAGAGTGCCCTCTTGGCTATGTCATCAGACAGAGCATCGGTTATTCATGATCGCAGATATTTTGATTTGGTGGTGGGTGTTGGGTTCCCCACACCTGTTTCACTTAATTGTTTTTGAAACTATTAAATTTGGAGATAAGTGTAATCCTCAGGCTCAAATCCAACTGTACCATCTAGGAACGTGGGTTGAATGTGAGCTGTAACAAATCAACAACGAAAGAAAGGAAGAATTGAGAAGTTATTTCCCTCCCGACTCCAGGAGGTGCTGAAATACAACACTCCCCTCTCAGGGAGCCTGCTGTGTAAATCACAGTGCCAACTTTCCTCATGGAAGGGAAGCTTCAAGCTGAATAAATGATTGCCCACTTAATAACATTAAATTATTAATATTAAATTGATGATATAACATGATTAATATTAAGTTATTAACTATGAAAAAGTTATTAGTAAAATATTATTTGAGAGTAATAATAACTGTCGACCGCACGTCAGAGACCACACCAGGTACTCTACAAAATTCACTCCATTTTTAGAAGCATCACATAACCTAGATGCAATTCACACATGAGAAAACCGTATCTCAGAGAGGCTAAATGCCTTACCCGAAGACACACAGCTCCCAACAGATCAGCTAGAGGTCTGTCTTGAAAACCCTGCTTCTGGCAATGACAGGGAGTCATTGCAGTACTGGCGCGGGGTCCCTTGATAAAAAGACTGATGGCCAGGGGCGACTGGGTGGCTCACTCAGTTAAGCATCAACTCCTGATTTCAGCTCGGATCATGATCTCAGGGATCATGAGCTAAGCCCCGTGTTGGGCTCTACGCTGACAGCTCAGAGCCTGCTTGGGATTTTCTCTCTCCCTCTCTCTTTGCCCCTATCCCGCTTGTGCGCTTCCTCTCTCTTTCTCTCTCTCTCTCTCTCTCCCTCCCTCTCTCAAAAATAAACATTAAAAAGAAGTGATATCCAAGGAGGTCCAACAAAACTAGCTTTAAAGAAATCTGGCAGTGTTCAGTAAAAGGCCGAGGGGATTCATCTTCTTGGTGTTATCCTCTCTCTAGCGTTTATGTATTTTTGTCATTGCTTACTTGTCCAGAGGTCAAAGGTCCTTTTGTTACCACTTTGGTGAAATCGGCCCCTCCACTTAGAGGGGGAAACTCTGGGATGCTTGGCACTTTTTTAAAAGGTCTTTGCAAATTAAAAAGTAGCTCAAGTCTTTGTGGTATAGGCACTGTACAGGAGGGGAAAAAATGTATCCAAATTTTTGAAATACTGGATCACTATATTCATTACGCTTATAAGCACATACATTTTGACATGTCTTTTAATGGGTTCAAAATACTCTCAAATTCTTTTTTATTTTTTAGATTTTTTTTTTTTTAATTTTAGAGACAGCATAAGTGGGGAAGAGGGGCAGAGGGGGAGAGAGAGAGAGAGAGAGAGAGAGAGAGAGAATCTTAAACAGGTTCCATACTCAGCACTGAGCCCCATGCGAGGCTTAATCCCCCCCCACCCTGGGATCACGACCTGGGCCAAAATCAAGAGTCAGATGCCGAATTGACTGAGCCACCCAGACACCCCAGTACTCTTGAATTCTTACAGCATTTAGGAGGCTTGTTTTATTCTAAAGCCTAGCGAATTTATTTTAAAAGATGGTGGTTTTAGGTAATTTTTGAGATTATGGTATTCTATTGTATGCTCCTGACCCCAGTGGATTATTGATTTGTTGCAAATTCTTGTGTCTTCCAGTAAAGTGGTTCCAGGCTGACGACAGACTGGACCATGATCTTTTATTCCACTTTTGCCCGATTTGGGGGCAGGAATCATGCCTCTTAGGTTAGAGACCTTTTCCTCTAAGTAGAGGAAACAGTTCAGTTTTCCAAGATAGCATTTCCCGCCTCTTGGTCTTCCAGGTTACTGGGTCGCTTTGGGGTCTGAAAAAGGAAAATGAGAAGAATAAAAGGGGGAGTCACTGAATGTACCCCAGCCAACGGAGCCTCGCTTTCAGGCAGTCGGGGCTGGAAAGACCATGTTCAAAATTCAGTGCACGTATCCCAGGAGGCGAAAAACGGTGCGTGTTCTAGAAATGTTACTGTTTTTTAGGAAGGCAGGCCGTGCATTTTCCATTCCAACCACAGGTGCACGCAAAACGAAAACTAAAACTTAAACTCTTGCGGAGAGGCAACCGGCAACTATTGTTTCAAAACGTTAATCGCTCTTTCCTCTTTCCAGTGGCTGTGCCAAATGGCCGGGACCAAATTCACCTTTCTTCTTCTATAAAAAACCCAGGGAAACGCAACAAAGCATCTAGAAGTGAATCCCTTAAAGGGGCTCCGTGTAGTTGTTTAAATAATTGATACATACACATAAGGGTACATCCTCCTGTCTGCATTCCCCACCTTCTCACTTGCGTGAAGACAGTAGCTACAATAACTGACATCCACGTCCTCAGACTGTGACATTGCGGGTCTTTCACCGAGAAGCCAAAATACCTGGGGCCCGCGCAGCTGTCCCTCTAGGCCGCCCACCCGCACAGCTGCGGCCCACGCCCTCGCCCTGCGAGCTCAAATGAAACTTGCCCATCGCATCAGCCCGCTGCGGAGTTTGCAAGGGTGCAGCTCTCCAGCCGCGGGGGAGACACGATGCGCTGCGGTGGCCGACGACCCGAAACCGCAGCCGGGACCCCCTCTTTCCTCCACACCGCCCTACCCCCACCTCTTGTTTGATCTAGGATTCCTTTTTATGTTTTTCAGGGACAGAAGCGACTCCAGCAACCTTGGGGGTGTTGGTTATGAGTTTCTCCTTGAAACGCGTTCTGATTCCATTTTCCGTAACCCAGCTGGCGGGAAGCACGGCCCCTGGGTCCTCGGCACCCCGGCCGGCCACCACACCGCAGGAGCGGTCGGGGTGCGCCGGACGTGGGCGGGCGGTTGAAAAGACACCCCGCGGACACACCTCCACCCCGCGGGTTGCAGGTTGCGTGTCTTTTGTCCGCTCGCCTTTCCGCGGGGGCCGCGCACTCCCGCGCCTGGCCGGCAGGTGGCGCGGTTGCCTCATGATGAGCCGCTGCCTGCGCGGGGAAAGGCGCTGCCACCTCCCCGCGGTCGCCCACCCGCTGGGACCCAGGATCCGGAGAAAATCCCGGTCCTACCCTGGAGGTTGACAGAGGAGGCGCGGCCTGGGGGAGGGAAGAAGGAGGCTTCAACGGGAACCGGGGTCCCTTTAAAGGTCCGGAGGAACGCACCGAGTCGCTTCGGGGGGCCCGTCCCGGGGCCGCCCGCTGCGTTACAGTCGCCGGGCGGCGCTCGGATGGTTGCGTCCGCAGCCGGGACATCTGGGAACAGACCGAGGCCCAAGTGGGGCCTGCGTTCCCCCAAAGGTCGACAGTGACACTCGCGGGCCGGGGCACGGGCAGCTGCGAGGATTTGCGCCGCCTCTGCAGCCCTCCACCGGCCCCCGGGCGCGGAAAGCGGTGCCGAGCAGCGGCCGGCAGCCGTCGGAGCGCAGAGCTGCAGCGGCCGCGCCAGGCAGCCTCCGCGTCCCCACCTGCGTGGTCTGGGCAGCAGCAGGCACCCCCGCTCCCGCTTGAAGCCCTTCGCTTGTGCCCCGGCGCTCCGGACTGACCAGGCCTGGTCCCAGGGACGACCCCCGGGTAACACGCAGTCGGTTCCCTGCAGCTCAGGCCAGGCCCTCTCCGGGCGTCCTGCGGCGATGGGAAGTCCTGTCCCGGCCAGGGCGAGACCCGCTGCGTGAACGCCAGGTGCAACCAGAGGGCTCTTCTCCGTTGCTCAGAAGTCACTGGTTCCGTCTCTGGAGACGGTGACTGAGCCTTGCCTCCCGCCGGGAGCCGCCCTGGACGTTGGGGACCGATCGGGTCTCTGCTGTCCAGGCAGCTGGGGATCCAGGGAAGAGAGAGATACTCAAGCCACAGAACTCCCCCAAAGAGCATTCATCTGGAGACGCGCCGTAAAGACACAAACGGGGCAGGGTTGCAGAGGGTGCCAGGGGCGGTGCGCCAGCCCGGGCGCTCGAGACGCGAACGCTCCGACCCTCAGAAAAAAGCGACAGCAAAGCGGCAGGGTCAACTTTATACTTATTTTATTGCAGTAAAAGAACCTTTTCCTCCATCTCAAACCGCCCGTGGCGGGGGGAGAGGGGGTTGCCAATCTTCATCGGATCCCCCCACCGCGCCCCCCACCCCCAGTCGATTCAGTCTTCGAAGCTCCTTCCACTGCTCAGGGGCTGGACCCCTGAGGCGACGTCCAGGGACCAGGCCGTCTCCCTCCGGCGGGGGCGCGAACCTGGCAGAGCTGGGGCCCCGAGGCCCCGGGAGACAGCGCGCCCCGCGGAGCCCGGAGGGGGCGGGGCCTCGGGGCGGGCTCTGCTCAGTGGGGCGGGGCCGGGCCGCCCCGTCTGCGCCACTATTGGCCGCGGGCCCCGGACTGGCGGGTGAACGTCACGGGCTGGGCCCACCCCCTTGGCAATGTCTTCAGCCTGCTGCACTCCTAACTTAAGCATTTATTCCACTGGGATAGAAGCGGCAGGAGCAGCGTTGGCACCGGCGAACCATGGCTGGGATTTTCTATTTCGTCCTCTTTTCGTTTCTCTTTGGGATTTGCGACGCTGTCACCGGTTCCAGGGTGTACCCCGCGAATGAAGGTAAGAGCGAGGCGGTCCTTCTGCGGTCCCGGGCAGAGAGGTGGATCTGCGGGCGAATGATCCCCGGGAGCGCGAGGCCGGAGGGTGTGAGGGGATCCTGGCGTGAGTGGCGCACCCCCACTTCGGAGAAGGGGACCAGGACGAGGGGATCCGCGAGGAGGAGGGGGGAAGCTGCCGGGCAGCTTGCCCCGGGAGGTGACCGTGCATTCGGCGGAGCTACCCAAGTTTGTAGCTAAAGGACAAAGTTTATCAGCATCCGCCAGCGAGGCGAGCTCCAGGCGCCCCAGGGGATACACGGGAGCTAACGCCAGGATTTAAAAAAAAAAAA